AGCTTTGAAATCCGCTCAGATTTCCTTGGCTTTGCCAAGTCATTCCCCAACGCGCTCCCTTTCCTTCCATTTCCCAGTCATCCAARGGCCACAGCAACGCGGGCGAGTGGCACCCCCTGCTTGCTGCTCTGCACAGCCTGGCACGGTCCCCTCGCATCCCAAGGGACATGGCGGCACAGGGGACACCTAGGAGTTATGGAGAATTATCTCTATATCCTCAGTGTTTTTATGTCCTGAACAGTCCGTGTTTGTGACCTGAAAAGGCAGAATGTGTCAGCGATAGCTTTCTTAATTGTTCAGAAGTGCTTTTTTGTCATTTGTTTTTTTGCTTTAGTATTTTTGGCTAGCAGAAATTCTTCACACAACTTCCACTATCCTCTGCAACTCACAGGCATATGTGCTCCCCAGCCACTGTGAAATCCTCTGCATTTGAAAAAAAAAATTAATCCAATTGCTCCAAACCCTTGAAATTGTTTGCATTAATACCAGTTTAATTCAAACGCTTGTAAACAGCCCAGCAAATCCTCTTATTACAAAATGCCAGGGCTCACCCTGCCGGCAGATAAGTACCCGATTACTGCAAAACCTGGGCAGGTTTCTCCAGTAATCAGCATGGGCTGCAAATCCCACCTGGCCCTGCCAGTGGTGCAGGGCTAGGGAAAGGGCAAAGCCAGGGGATGCTTTGAATGGCATGAGAAGCGAAACGGAGCACACGCTGCTTTTTATTGTTGTTGCTTTTTCCTCCCGTCTTAGCAGAATATCCCTGTTTCGGAGCAGGATATTGAGTCTGGGCAGGAGAGAAATAATGGTGGTGATTATGTGAATACTAGAAGAGCCCAATAATGGTAAATAATAATAATAATAATAATAATAATAATAATAATAATAATAATAATAATAACAACAACAACAACAACAACAACAACAACAACAACAACAACAACAACATTAAATGAATGCACTGAGGGGATGCAGCGACCCCGCTGTGTTTGGGGGGGGGGGTGGCGGCCATGGGCGGGAAGGCCGCAGGCCGCCCTTAGCAACGCAGGGCCCCGGGCGGTTGCTAGGGGCGGGACGGGGAGCGCTTCCTGCGGGGCGGGAGGCACTTCCGGCGGCGCCGAGGCCGGGGCGGCGGCGCGGAGCGGTGAGCGGGGCCGGGGCGGGAAGGGGCTATAGGGCGGGCTATAGGGCGGGCTATAGGACCGGCTATAGGGCGGGCTATAGGGCCGGGGGGAGGCCGAGCCTGCTGTCGGCTGTGCCGGCCCTCACGCGGGGCTGACGGCCCGTTTCAGGCGCCGCGAGCGCGGGCGGGGCCCGCCGGGGCCTTTCGGCCTGGGCGCCCACGAGGGGCCCGGGGCGCCCTGGCCAGCGCAGGCCCTGCCCTGAGGGCAGCCGGCAGCCCCGCCGCTTCGGCGGCCTGTCCCCGCCCCGGGGCAGGCCCGTACACGTCTCCGTGTTGGGGCTTTCCCCAGCGGTAGCCGCGGAATCACGGAGTGGTTGAGGTGGGAAGGGAGCCCTAGAGATCATCCAGGCCAACCCCCTGCTCCGCGGGGACACCCGAGCACCCGGTCACGTCCAGGGGGGTTTGGAACCTCTCCAAATCACCCTTTACCCTCCCCCTACTGCCACTCCATATTCCAGGGAATTCCAGGGAATACCTGGCAAGATCACTTACAGTTTGACTTTCTGTGCCTTCCACATGCCAAAATACTGCTTAGGACAAACGTTACCATTAAGAACAACCCGGACCTACTGCAAACAAGAAAAATGAAACCGCAGGACGTAGGGGTGGGCCTACACGCTCTGTTTCCTTTCTGAGATAAACTGATGGGAATTCCATAAACTGATGGGATGAGAGAGTTGAATCCGGAAAAATGCACTGAAAAGCAGTGGGAGGAGAACAAGAGGGAAGAAAGAGGGAAGTGAAGGCACCACCATGGGGCCCTGCTTGCAGGGAAACCAGGTATAGACAGACCTTGAGGATGGACTGTGGAAGGCAGTGACATAAATGACCTTGCTAAGAAGTGGGGACAGCAACGGCTCTCAAACACTGCAGGAGGTCTCTAAAAGGACCATGTTTTCCTTGCAGTTCCATAACTGTATGGAAATGTAAAGCAAATTAAAGGCAACTTCTTTGTAACATCTAAAACGTGAAAAATATGAGATTTTGATRAATTTATCACTCCTAACTTTAACCTCCATTTGTCCTCAGGCCTAGTCCCCCTCATTATCTTATTTTTGTGGCTCATTTGTGGCCCTGATCCTCAGAACACGTGGCTGTTAAGTGTAGGGACACAAATTTGGTTCCTGACATTATCCAAGGATAATTCCCAAGGATATTTTCATCATCCTCTGAGGGCATCTTTGGGCACAAAACTGAACCTGCAGCATGAGCACCTTGTGCCCTGTTTGTGTCACAGCTCTGCCTTTGCTGCAGGAAAGAGTACTTTAGTATGGAGTGGAAGGAGCTCTTTTGATGTGAAGCCTTAATAGAGGAAAGGCAGAAAAGCTCTGCATTATTTTAAATCAGTTCCAGTACTGTGCAGAAAATGTGGCTTTGGCTGGTGTGTCCCAGAGATGTGGTAGGCCTGGCAGGGAGAGGTGATAGGTGCTGTGGGACCAGATATTGCACTGAAAAGAGGGAAAAAATACAAGTTTACAGATATTTTCACACCCTCTCTGGGTCTGAAATTGGAGTTTCAGGCTCCAAAACTAAACACAAATTAAGGTTGATCACTCTGAGTGTAGCTGCAGTAATAGGTTCGTCTGGCTGAGGGAGAGGGTGGGTTGGACGGAGAGATTTTGGAGAAGGATTTTGGCAGAGTTGTTGAAACTTGTCACTTCTCTGAAAGAGAGTCATAATCCCCCTCCTTGCAGCTGCAGGTTGAGCTGCAGGGGAAAYGCAATGAGGAAGCACTTGATGGAAAAACTCATATTTTTCATGTTTTATATTCACTGTACAAGGTGGCATGCCTGTTACAGGGCCCTAATGGTCYAGTTTTAGCTTTGGCCTCATTTAACTTTGGCCTAGTGATCTGTGTCAGGTTAAACTCCTCCAGTTTGCAGCTTTGGGCCTGTTGGTAACCACAAGAGTCTTTTTAAAGCAGGGATTTTTTTTGTTGTTAATACTAGTTCAGCTCCACTGATATCAGCAAAATTAAGGGACCTCTTGGGAGCTGACTGCTGGCTCCTGTGGGTGGGTGCAATGTGGTGCCAGTTAGATCTTTTCTGAGCCTCTTTCATGGTGTGGCCCTTACTGGGGTGGTCATGGCTGCTCGAGAGCTCGTGGTGCTCGTCACATCGCTGGGGACTTTTTAGAGAATTGCTGCCACTCTAGAGAGATGTGAAATGGGAAGAGGGAAAGGAAGGGAGATGTGCAGGCTATGAGAATMGGGATCTTTTTGGTTTGATCTCATGTGCATCAGTTCCCTTTTCGGATTTATTTTTGTGAGCTGGTATTTTAGGTGTATGAATCAGTATCAATAGGAGAAACCCCCAAGAGAAGAGCAGAGCGGCTTGAGGAAGAGGGTAGACAAGAAGGAAGCTTTCAAAAGGCATCCTAGTAAATTAAATCCAGACAAAACACAGCACAAGGGTGACACTAACCTGATTCTGTGTCTCTCCTTAGAGTCTTTTAAAGGGTGGGACCCCAAAAGAGATGCAGTACTTCAGCTAAATTAAAATAAAATGTTTGCTCTTTGTAACTTTTGCTATTTGTATCTACACCATTCCTTTCGGTGTCTCTGCACCTGTGTCTTGTGCAGCAGCGCTAAGTTGTAAATTCATTCTCAAATTCATAAACTGTAGCCTTACTTGAATTCTGCTCACATTTTACCATCTTTTGTGGACTTGGTCACATCGGCAGATTGTAGAAGTTTACTCCTAGCTGCCAAATACAGGAGAAAACAATTTATTTGGAGAGAAATTTCTAGAAGATGGACCCTTCAGCTGAATCATGTATACAGCAAAGTCTTAGAAACAAGCTTCAGTGAAGTGAGGGGTAAGAGGGAACTGTACCTATAAATGAGATGTGTTGATTCAGTTGGGACACATTAGCACTTTTTCCTGTTAAGTTGCCTGTGCCCGTTGTATATAAGCACCTGGATATGCTTTCCCTATAAAAACAGACTTGCTCAGATCAGGATAACCAAGGAGAACTAATCACAACAAATTTCTGATGTCGTCTCATACTAAATGAACTTCCCTGTGACTTGCCCTGAAGCTCTGCAGCAATTTTGGCACCATTCAGTGCCAACAAGAGTTCACCATTAGGACAGAAAGCTGTTAGACATTCATAGAGTGACTTGACAGCTCCATTAACCAAAGCTAAAGCAAAGGAGATGGTTTGGGGATATTTTTTGGGATGGTTTTGTGGCCGAGAGGTTGGCCTGGGTCTCAGGAGATCGATGCTAAACTCTGCCACAAACTTCGTGTGTGACCATTGGAAGTCACGTAAGACTTAGTTTAACCAGCCACTAAAGCCTGGGCTTAACTTCAAACACATAACTCTGCTGCCTTCAGCAGAGGTGCTTTCTCTGTGCTCTTTCTGGATCAGTTTTAGGACATAGTTTTGTACAACGTCCAGGATCACAGCCGAGGTGTTCACGTTTTCCTGTGACATAAAGCCAAAGTGAAAACACGAAAGTCATGTACCAGATCAACTTGAAGGATATATATATATATATGTGTGTGTGTGTGTGTGTGTGTGTGTATATATTCTTGCTCATTGATCTTTTTTTCCCCATATTGTTTTGTGGACAGCCTCTCTGTCAAGTTTTGCTTAGCTTCCCTTTACCTCCAAATTGGCAATTGCAAACATCTGAGGACCCTTTTCCCGAGCAGGAGGTAAAAGACAATCATCCAAATAAGAGTGTGGTTTCATTTCCCTCTGTGTTACTGATTCTGTAGACTGAGAGTATTTTAGAAAAGGCTGTATAAATTAGTCTCTAGTTTTTTTTTTCTCAGTGGAAAGTAAACAGCAAAGTATGACTCAACTGCTTTCTGTCTTCTTTCTTTTGCTGTTGTTTCCTCTTCTAGAATTTGGTCATCTTGAGAACATCAGTGGAGAGGAAGGCACCATGGCTGCTGAGTTGGAGTTCTCTCCACCTGAAATCCCYGAGCCCACGTTCATGGAGAACGTGCTACGTTATGGACTCTTCTTTGGAGCCATTTTCCAGCTTATCTGTGTGTTAGCCATAATCCTACCCGTTTCCAAGTCCCATAAGRCAGTAAGTGTTGCTCTTTAATACTAATGGTGATGGTCAGAATCACTGAAAGTAGGATGTGAGAGAACTTGAAGTAACTAATGGAGACACAGTGGTCTGGGACTGTTGATGGTTCCGTAGTTCATTCCCTTTCCTTCCTTTCAGCTTTCCCACCTCCCCTGTCTTGTGGCTTAACCTCAGATTAGAAAGGCAGGAACTACCAGYTTAGCCAAATCTACCAGTGTCAGCCCAAAAGAGCGATGTGTGACCTGATGCTCTGGCCACGTTTGCYGAATGGACACCCTCTTCCCAGCTGCACAAAGAAAGCACAGACTATTCCCAAGCTCAYGTTGTCACCCTAAGGTGTTTTGCTCCGTTAATTGCCAAGCAGGATGTCCTCTTTGTAGTAACTGTCTTTGAAATGACTTGGGGTTCCAGTCTGCGTGTGATTCTTGTATGTTCTTTATTCCTAGTATGTTCTTAATTTTGGGGACAGATGTCTCAGTGCTGATGATCAGGCAGTGACTATGGTGGTTTGATAGAGATCTTGTCTGAATGCACATGGTATGAAGCAGTGTTTTCAGTTACAACTCAGCATGAGAAGTTTTGTTTAAAGGCTGTCTTCGTTGCACTCTTTGCTCCGTCCTCCGTCTTGTGCAGAGGAAACCTAGAAATATCCAGCGGYGTCTCAAATAAATGAACATTATGTGTTAGTAAAAAAGCTTGTGAGAGAGATGTGTCTAGCAAAGGAGTGCTTGAGCATGAGCCCCAGAATGAAGGAGAAGGACTTTTGCAGGTGTGCCCAGCTCTTAATAGTTTGGAGGGGTTAAAATGCAGAAAAGGCAGGGAAAGACCTTCCTTTGTACCTCTCCCCCACAGTTTTTGACCCAGTTTTCAGTTTTGCCTGTGAGCGAAGACGTGTTGATGCACTGGGGTATTGATGCTGCCCCAACACAGGCCCCTGCTCTGTCCTGCTGCTTGTCCCACCRCAGAAACTGCTGCTCCCAGCAGCTGGGCTTCATGATACTCCATATGGGAAGTCTCCCACTGTTACTCTGCAGCCTCCTCTGATGATCTGTCAGAGTTCATGGTTCCCCCGATAGATTTACAGGAAATACTGAATAGCCTGATTCTTGAGAGCTGAAAAGAGTAACAGCTTAAGCTTGAAGTAGGAAGCTGAAGGCTATGCCCCCAATTAAAATGGCAAAGCCTATGGAACTGGTGGTGTTTAAAGCCATTCTTTGATGTCCTCTTGCTAGACTTTCTTTTCTTCCTGTATATACAATCCTTTTGATTTACTGCCCACATGGCTGATTTACTAGACTGTAAACAATGGAAGATATTCTTCCAGATCCTGGAATAATGCTGGAGTCAGGGTAAAATACTTGCGAGTTTCCCTGCTTTGGGAGGCTCCAAGCTTYGCAGACTACCCCGGGTGAACATTAGAAGGCAGTAGTGCTCACTGTGTGGCAGCAGCACAGCCTGCTCTCCTGAGCAATAGCTGTGTGTCACTGCAGTTCTCCGGAGCCTGCCAGCTCCCCGTGTGCCGATTACAGCCTTTGGAAAGGCAGCCAAGTCTCCTTCCTTGGAAAGCCACACAGCTGTGCACCGTAATAGCCCCGTAACTTGCGAGGCGTTTGAGGCGAGCTCCTTGATGAAAAGGAAGCAGTCGGCTGCTCGCCTCCCTCCCCATTACTCAGAGTGCTCTTTGGGAAGCTCGAAACGAGCACGTCTTGCTCTGCCATTTTTCATATGTCCTTTTCCAGTTGGCACACTCTGACTGATAGAAACCAAGATGCTAAAGCAATATTTATACTCGAGCGCAGCTAATGAAAGGAAGCAATCTGCATGTGTGTGCTCGCTCAGATGAGACTGGCTCTGTTCCCTTGTGTTTTTGCAAGATAACTAGAGTGTATTTTCCATGCTTGAAATATTATCCGTCATCTTGTCTGAAGGGAACAAGCAGGATATCTAAGCATTGCCTGCTAGTCCAGGTTGGCTTTGCCTTTAACTCCCTTCCTGGATTTCAGGCATGGTTTAGAAGCTCTGGACTTTGTTCTTAGTACCATTTTGGATTTTAGTTTGTCTTGTAACCGATTAACGTTATCATTTTACAGAATTCCTGTGGAATGTTTCTGCTCACACTGATCATTCAGTAATCGGTACAAAACAGTGTAGTTTTTGCTTAGTGCCGGTTTTCTTCCTGCCTTTAAAGTTGTTCCTCTGTTTGTTTGTTTTTCCAAAGCCTGTTTTAGAGACTTGAACTTATTGTAGCTTCTCTGGTGCATAATGAATGGCTTTTTCTGTGCGTAAACTCATGCTCATCAAAAAGTGCCTGTGGAAGAAACAGAAATGGTGCTGCACCCATCTCATTAACCATGGACTCTATTTGATACAGAGTCGCTCCAGCAGCGATAGCCGGCACTTACATCTGTACCTGTTGCTTCCTTCCTTTTGGCTTACACTCAAATCCTCAAGGAGTTTGAGAGGTAAGCGGTGAGCAGATTGCTAAAATGTTACTGACTGACTCTTTCTTWCTTACTTCTTGCAGGACTCGGACAGTTTTGAGCCTAAGAGTTCAGAAGTAGTGAAGAAGCCAAAGGCAACTGCTCCACAGATGAGCAAGAAACCCAAGAAGGAAACCAAAAAGAAACGATAAAGGCGTTGCTGACGAGCCTCAAAAGACAGAATATCATCTGTAATCAAGCTTCCTTCGAGATGACATCACAGACAACTAAATATGTTAAATGGGTTTCTGGCATTGCCATTCTTTACCTGTCAGGGGACAAGGGAGTGGACGGGGAGGGCTTCTGCATAGAYTTCTTACAAGCAAAGAGAGCTTCATGTATCCAGGACTTCACTCGACATGATTAATGTTTCAGTCATCATCAAAGTGACTTATCTCTCGTCTGATGGGTAGAAAGGCTTGTGGTCTTATCTCTTCTGCGCTGGCCAGGATTGCATTAAGGTCCCTCTGGAAGGTGAAGTGTGGGTTTGCTACTGCAGATACCACTTYTAGTTGTATTTGAAAGCAGAAGGATCAAATGGATCAAGGATACCACACTACACAGCTTTGTATTCATCTGTATTGTCATCTTGCCTGAAATACATAGCTGCATTTTATGGCTTAATAATAATGGCTTTGTTATATTCTTTAATTCTTTATGAGTAACAACTCATCAGATGCCAGACTGCTTTAGATGAAAGCTTTCATTTCCCCAGCATTGCTACCTCTTTCTTCTCACTCCCCACCCTGTCTGTTCTTTTTGCTCCCAATTTTGAAAGTATGTGTAAAGAATTCCAGAGATGTGGCACCACGGTGGGGYCTGGAGTGAATACAAGAATCAGGGAACAATTTGATTCTGAAGGGTGCAGAATTCAATGAGATGTTCTTGGAAACTTGGGAAGACCAGGTACTGCACGTTAGAGCAAGGCTGCTCTGAGGTGGGAGTCTGACTTGCATTTGCTTTGTTTAAACTTCTTAGCTGCACTGCTGATTAATCCTCCTCTGATCCAGCTGAGTCCTAACCATGGGCTCCATTTCAACACAGCTTGGATTTGCTGCATTTGCAAACTCCCTCCTAGCATTACCTGGTGTAGTACTGTGTCTCCTCTCATTCAGTTCTTCCTGGAGGCAAATACAATCTCAGCCTGAGGAAAGGTGGTGTTTTTAAAGCCAAGACATGGTAAGCTGGGTTGCCTAGCATGACTACATGGCAGGAGACATGCATGCTGTGTTCCTTCAGGCTCTCCAGGGCCAGGGACAGTCTCGTATTAGATTTGAATATGGCTAGACAGGAGGGGAAACAGATAGGTGGTGATGTAGCCACAAAGTCTCGAGGGCAGCTTGAGCTTCCTGGTGCCAGCTCACATCTTGGTTTGTTTGATCACAAATGAGTCAATGGGAGGAGAACCTGCTGCCTTAGACGCACCCAGGGTTCAGAGGAGCTTTGAAGGAGGCTCTGTGTCAGGGCTGCAAGTCTCCAGTCAGTTTTGCATACACTGACTCCCGTCCTCAGTTCACAGATGCCTAGTGAACCCAAGCACAGCGTTAGTGTTGCAGGAGCAAGAGGTGTCCAGTTGTGCATGTGTTTTCCAGCAAGCCAAGCAGCACATTTACAGGAGCCATCACTGCTGAGAAGGGCCACGTTTCCTCCTCTCTCTGGTTTTTGGTGAGCGAGCCAGATAGATCCCAGTTCCAGTTTGATAATAACCTCTCGTTGCTTCTCTGCTCCAGGTTCTCTACTTCTCTAATCAGAATGCTGACAGCAGGTTTGTGCTGCTTAAAATCCAGCTTCCACTGAGGGTGCTTTAAATGCAGCCTTTGTTTTTTTTACGGCTACATAAAGGCAATTCTAGCAGTACAGAACAAATCGTGAAGGACCCAAGCACTGTAAAGGTTACTATGTGTCCTGAGCACAAAAAAAATAAATAAAACTTTCCACACATGTAACAAAGAGCAGTATTGTTCAGAGTTTCCCACTAGGACCGATGTTCCTGCCTGCAATCTGCAGGGGAAAGAAAAGCCTTGCCGCTCTCCGAGACATAGGTGCTGTAGATCATTTGCTCCATTTTATTGTATGTAGGTAGTTGTTCATGTGGTTGTTTTGTCTAGCAACTCTGGTTTCCTACAGGTGACTTCAAGGTGGGTTTTAATGCTTTGTTCGGAATTGCGAATATTGAATATTACCTGAAATGCTTCCATGGCCAACAGCTAGTTAGTGGTGAACACCATGGTGTGGTTATTGCCCTGAAATGGCAGGCTACACCATCAACGTTGCATTATAGCTGTTCAGGGTATTCAGGTACTCATTGTTAAATAGAAATTGTGACTATGGGGGGTTGCTTTAGAGGGGAGGGAGGAGATGCTCTTCCTAACAGCTTGACAGTGCTGTTATTAGCTGTACTTGTAGTATCTTTTACAGATTTTCAGTATGTCTTGTATTTTAATTTCTCTTGAAATGTGTAATAAATACAACTGGAACATCTTTGTTTAAAAAAAAAAACTCTCTTTTTAAAATATGCTGCCTCTTTCCATGTATTCATTGTGAAACCTGCCAGAAGTGCAGAACATAGGAAGGGGCATAAATAACCTTATTCATAAAAATGATCCATTAAGAGAAAGCCTTTCAGATCCCTTAATCTGTGAGAAATTGGTTAGTTAACCTTTTCAGGACTTTGCATATTTCTGTTTGACTTGGAAGTAGGAAATGATCTCCCAATGCTCCTTCACCTTCCTGGAAGGAGGAAATGGGGCTGTAGCTAAATTAATCCCTCTCCCATGGGAGGCTCCAAGAGCCCCTGGGAAGGTAATAATAAAGGCAATATTTGTTAATACTACGAGCAGGRGATTAGATGGTGATTCAGTAGATGGATAACAGGGATTTTCCGTAGCCCCTCGGTGCAGCCCGAGTGAGCAGCTCGTGCCGACGTGGCGGGAGCTGCTGAGTGCCTGCTCCTGGGCCAGGAAAAGGCTGGGTGGGCTAGTGTCACTTGGCTCCCTCAGCACAGCGCCCAGAGAAGGACCTGGGTGGTAACTCCCTTAACTCCCAAGCTTTTTTTCCTCAGGCTGCTGTGTAATTTCCATCCCGACGGGAGCTGCAGCCCTCAGTAAGTGCCTGGTGTGGAAGGGACGGGTTGGGGTGTCCGCCCGCAGCCACGAGGCCGAGCGGAGCCGCGTGGGAGCCTCCGCTGACACCTCTGGGCACCTCCATTCCCCAGACAGCCCAAATGCTGCCCTGAGGAAGCCGGGGGGTTGGTTTTGATGGTGTTTTAGCAGAATCTCCCTCTCGGGCCACGCTCCCCYGGTCTGTGGCCGGGGCCTGGGGCTCACAATGCGGCCTTGTGCTCCCCCGGCGCACGCAGCGCCGTCCCGCGAGACGGGCTAACAAGCAGCTCGTGACTGGAGTTCCAGTTCACACAGTTCAATTAAATCCCTGTTAATCTCGTTCAGACCTAATTTACTTTCCTTCTCCACACGTGGCGCGCGGAGCCTGGCGCGGTTCCCCGCCGGCAGGAAGGGAGCAGCTGGAGGCCGTCTCTGGAGGGGAGCCCTGCTTGCGCGCGGGCCCCCACGTTGAGGCTGCGGGCTCCGATTAGTTCCCAATCTGTCAGGAAGAAGGTGATAACGTTCCTGCCGAGCCTGGATTCCGGGGAGAGTCGAGGCTGGAGGGGATGTGGTCCTCGAGGAGAAAATAAGGAGACTGTAGGAGTTGTGGTTGCTGCTCCTGGTCCAAGCCGCAGCTGAAGGGCTCCCCACAGGTGCTGGAGTTTTGGGGCAGCCTGAAGTGAGATATCTTGAGCAATGGGGTCTGAGCTTCTCCCTGGGTGGCCTCTCTGACCCTWGGTTGCTTCTTTTGGGGGTAAAGAGGTGGTGTTGGCAGCCTGCCCGGGCTTRTTTGCGGCCGGTGGAGATCAAGAGGCCCGTATTGATTTAGCCGCTTGTTTATTAATCTCGTGCGGCACCGGGGACCGGGCGCAGCGATGCAACGACGTGGTGCGGGGATGGCCCTGGACAAAAGGACCCGCTGCTTGTTAGGAATGAATGTGGCTGCCCGATGGGACACCGGGAAAGGACTGCCCCCCACCTCCCACCCCGAAACAGAAGGGATAATTGGATGGGGTTTTGTTGCTTTTGTTTCCTCTCCTCTTTTTGCTTTCGCATTTCACCTTAAATTGCAGTTACTGCAGGCCCCAGGTCCTGCTCTGCTGCTGTGGTATCAGCAGCTGGTGGCTTTCAACCAGTTGTTCCAATTCTGGGGGTGTTGGTGGCTGAGGTGTGAGCTCGTGCACGGCAGCTYATCCAAAGGCCTCCCGCTCGGAGCTGGCAAGCGCAGGGCGATGAACTTGGCCTCCTGCCTTCTCCCCTTCAGCAATTCTTCCAYGTTCCGTGCTGCTCTTCCAAACCTTGGCCTTTCTGTCACCTTAATTCACTCCCAGGCCCCCTCTTGCTGTTGATGTCTGCTGCAATATCACTGTCCTCGCAGCCACGTTTTAACTGTCGGTGACAGACTGGATCACCTGGTTTTGCAAGTCTCAGCTAGAGAAAGAATATGTGTCAAAACAGCCCAGAATGAAGGAAAGTGTTGCCTTCCCCTCAGCCCTTTTAAACATGTTTCTCTCACTTGATTTTTTTTTTTTCAGCCAGAAAACTGCTTGAAAAAGGCAATTCTCTGCCTTGGGAACCCCAGAAAGCAGCCCCATGCCCATCTGCTTGTCCTTGAGCCACGAGGAGTTAAATTATTAAATATGAAGCTTCCTAGTGCCTGTGATAAGGAGCGCTGTGGTGCTGTGCGTGCTTCATAACGACCTGCCCAGGTCCCGTTCTTAGCCAACGTGCACAGGTCGCTGCTGTGCAATCCCAAACCTCTTGTGCTCTTCGCTTCCCTCCTCTGAGCTTCCCTGAAGGAGAAGGATCCCATTTCCAATTCTGCTGTTGCTCGGCAGTCCCTGTTAGCCTGTTCCCCATGTGTTCTGCCTTCTTTCTGAGTGGTAGGTATAAGACTTCAGATCTCATCTACTTTGCTTCCCCCTTAAAAGTATCTGCTGTCTGGCTGATGTCCCTCATCGTGCTTGAAGATCTGGGCTCCCAAWGGAGGGATCTGCCCCGTGCTTTATAAGGTCCTATTTGCATGCTAAAGGCGGCTTTTCTTACTTGTAAAATTGCACTCCAGACCCTGATTTTGCTTCTCCTCCAAATCTCTGATGTGCCAGCCCGTAAGTTAAGTATGACCAGCTCCAGTTCATGGACCAGAGCCTAGGGAGGCATCGGGACCCGTCTGTGACTTCTTAGATCTTTCCCAAGCTGTCCTTGGGAAAGGACGTGTGTCCTTTCCGCCTGACCATGGTGAAGGCCGTGGTCTCTGCCAGGTGTCTCTTTAGATCCCAAAGCAGCTTTTTGGTGACTGGARCGGACATCTGAGCGTCCCAGAGGACCAGGCTGGGGGATGAGGAGAATTGCTGGGGCTGTTGCTCATCGAAGGGGCAAAGTAGCCAACATTTCCATCCTAAGCTTCCCTTGCCCCGTTGTTTAGCTCTGTTTAAACCGAGCGCAGATCCAAAYGTCATGTGGTTTAAATTTGAGAGATTCAAACATTGGCTGCCCCAGCCCATCCCTCGCCTGAAGGAGCAGCCCGGAACGACGCGGGGAATGATCCAGCCTCGTGTCTGCCCAGGCKCCGTTGGGTGCCCCAAAACAGTCACCTCGGCCCCCTTATGCTCCGGGGAAGCTCAAGCTGAGCCTCTGCTAGCAAAGCAGCTGAAACGGAGCTCAGTCTGTGAGCTAAATCTCATCTGTGCAGCTTTCCAGGGGCTTCTCTGAACCGCTCTTTTCTGTTGACATCAAGACTGGCCAAAAAGCAGAATTTCCCCCACTGGGAAATGCTCGTGTTTTGTATGTGGCTTTTCCCCTAAACTGAGGCAAAAAAGTGCAAAGCGCAGAGTTTCTGTCTGCATGATCTGTTCTAAAACACCTAGTTCCAGTCTTACCAAAATGTTATGTATTATCAGTTGCAATGCTCACGCAAAACGCTGGGACTAGACTGAACRTGTAGGCAATTCCCTTCCAAAGCTATTGATGAATCCTGGGTTTTCTCCCCGAACATTTTCTCCAGGTCAGRATTTTCCAGTAACTCATTTCCCAAAGGAACCTGGTACCGGCAGCTCGTGCAGCTGCAGAGGCTGGAAACCTTCTGCCTTCCCCCAGTGTGCCGCACAGAAGGGCACGGAGGGTCGTGAGCGGCCCCCTACCCCTTTCCATAGCCTTGTCCCGACTTTTATATCACACCACCCGCCTTGGGAAGCAGCTCACGTTGCTCTGCTCTCACAGACCAGCGGAGAGCGGCCGGAATTCGAGGTTCTGCCATGAAATACGGCCCGTGGGCTGGTAGTGCCGGAGCTGCTCGATTCGCCCCGTAAATGAGCCCCGAGCTGCTGACTGCGGCTCTCCTAACGGCTCTGACGGTGCCGACCGCTGCCCTCGCACACGCTCACCACGCGCAAGGCCGTAAAGGTTAAAGATCATAAATTCTTAGGGGAATTGCTGGGCCCGCTTCTGCCTCCGCCCCGCAGCTTGAGCACAACCACGCTATTATGGGGAGTAATAATTCAGGCAAATATATTTGGATTTTGCAGCGGGCCTCAGGAACAGGATCCGCTCAACAAAACTTATTCACRCTTGCCAAGCAGCCGCTTACAAATAAAGCTCGTTGGGGATGAATGGATGTTTTGTCGTGAAGTTTGAGAGGGCAGGACACGGGCCCGTTTTTGGCCCTGGAAAGGATCCCTTCGCTTTCCGAGGAGAGCTGCCGAGCCTCGCGAGCGGCTCSACGGCTTCGCGGGGTGTTTCGAGGGAGCCGCATCGACGGCGACCTGAGCGCCACGCGCCGGAGGAGGTGACGAGCAGACCAGATGTGTATTTATTATTCCCTTCACATCAGGTCAGTAATTTTCATCTTTTTTTTTTTTTTTCTGATACAATATTCATAAAGATCAGCAGGAAAATACCTACCTATGGCTTAAAACAGTTCTCCAACAAGACATCGTGCTGCAACACTGGAGACCTCAAATACTCAGCATTTGAAATCTGAACATTCTTTTTTCTCCATTTCAGTCTCTCTATAACCCCCTTTCCCCTCTCCAGTGGGGGTTTTACAGGTGCTGTCTAAAAGCAAGCAGAAAAACAACATCTCAAGAAATAAAGTTTCAGGTAAGACATTACATCCCTGAGCTGGGAAGGATTCCAAGGAAGATCTTGGATTGCACTGGGTAAAGAAAGGAGCAGGGAGCAAAGGGAAACGGGCACGCGG